CAATGAAACAGGACCCATATAATACAGTCCATAAAGACAATGTTCTATATTTCACGTTGGTAAGTAGTGACTGGGCTTTCAGAAGTTTGTGTATGGCCATTTAAGGTTCAATTATTAATCTTTCAATGTCCAGAGGAAATAATAATGAAGAAAATTGAAGACATATAGAAATAATTAATCCAACGGACTAATAGACCACACAAGGTTCTGTGACCCTGAGACGAAAAGAACCAGATGGTGCCTGGCTACCACCACTACTAGCGTCTCTGAAATGGATCGCATTAAAAGATCCTGGACAGAGGAAGAGAAAGATATGGGACCAAATTCAAATTGATTTAAAAATAAACAAAACAGACTGGTAGGACCCTAGAGACTATGGTTCTTAGTCACGCTTCAGGTTTGGAAATACCCTCATCCACATGGCTCAATTTTCTGTAAAATAATAAACAGGTCTAGAAAGGGAACAATTGCACTAGGAAGGTCCACACACTTGAGGATAATCAACCACTGAGACCAAACGGTCAGCATGTACCCAAGGGCAGCGTTCAAAGGGTTAAGACAGATGGAGAAATAGAAACAGGAAACAGAAGGTGGAAATTATGCTTCATTGCAATCAATCATGAAACAGTGAACAAAATGGGTATAATTGTTGAATAAAAAAGATCTGTTTTATAAATCTCCTGCCAACTCAAAATAAAATGTTAAAAAGCGAATTAACTTTTCTCAAAATAAAAATAAATAAAATTAAATCAGAAAGAGTTTGTGTCATGGTTCCATCCTTTCACCATATTTATTTAATCTGTACACTGAGGGAAAAAGAAAGAGAAAGAGAGAGAAGAATGCAGCATGAGGATTGGAGGGAGACTTGTTAACAATCAGTGGTATGCAGATGTCATAACCTTGCTTGAAAAGAGAAAGGATTTGAAGCACTTACTGATGAAGATTAAATGCTTCAGAAAGGATTAATCATCAGTATAAGGAAGCAAAAATTCACACAACTAGACCAAGTTTAAAAATCATTATAAATAACAGAAAGACTGAAGTTGTCAAAGACTTCATTTTACTTGGATCCACAATCAACACAAAAGCATAGTCAGGAAATGAGATGATGGCCTGCACTGGACAAATCTGCAGCAAAAGACCTCTCAAAATGGTTAGAAAGTGAACGTGTCACTGGTATTCTCAGTCACACTCTATGCGTGCAAAAGCTGGACAATGAATGAGGAAGCCTGGAGAAAAGATGCATTTAAACTATGGTGCTGGCAAAGAACATTGAAAACGCTATGAACTGCCACAAAAATGCACAAGTACAGCCAGAACGCTCGCTGGAATTGAAGATGGGGAGACTCTGTGTCACATCCATTGGACGTGTTTTCAGGAAGGGCCATTCCCTGGAGATAAGGATGGTAAAGGATCAGTGAAAAACTAAAACCCTCAAGGCAACAGACTGACACAGTGGCTCTATCAATGGGCTCAAACATCAGACTGATGGTGGCACAGGGTCAGGCAGTTTCATTTTGAATTGGAACCAACTCAAGTACACCTACCAACACCACCACTAGTACTGTTTGTATTTGATCACTCTAGTCTGTTTGTGACACATCCTAACATTTCTAGTATGGTCTACAACTCAATGTAAAGAAAATGAAAATCCTCATAACTAGACAAGTAACATCATGACAGACAAAGAAACCATTGAAGTTGCCGGGATCTCATCTTGCTTGGCTCCACAATCAATGCTCAGAGAAGCAGCAGTCAAAATATCAAAGGGCAATTTACACTGGGCAAATCTGCTGAAATGCTAAGATGTTATTTTGAGGACTAAGGTTGCACCTGACCCAAGACACAGTATTTTCCATTGTCTCATATGCATGTGAAAGTTGGACAATGAATAAGGAAGACCAAAGAAGAATCAGTGCATTTGAATTATGTTGCTGGCAACGAATATTGAAAGTAATCATGGACTGCCAAAAGAACGAGCAAATCTGTCTAGGAAGTACAGCCAGAATAACTCTTTAGAAGCAAGGATGACAAGTTTTTGCCTCACATACTTTGGACTTATTATCAGAAGAGATCGGTCCCTGGAGAAGGGCATAATACTTGGTAAAGTGGAGGAGCAGTGAAAAAGAGGGAGGCCCTCAACCTTGGATCCAGATGGATTGACACAGTAGCTGCAATCATGGGCTCCAACGTCAGAACAACTGTGAGGACGGTGCAGGACCGGGTAGTGTTCTGTTCTGTTGCACACAGGGTTGCTGAGTCAGAACTGACTTGACGGACCATCACAACATTTCTAGTTATGGACACTGCAGTACGAGTACGAAAATTCACAGAGAGTAGTTCAGAGCCCCTGCCGTAGAATCGATTCTGACTCATAATGATGCTACAGAACACAGTAAAACTTCTTAGGATACAAAACCTTTATGTGAGCAGACGGCCTCAGCTTTTTCCTGGAAAGTAGCTGGTGGGTTTGAACTACTGATCTTGCAGTTAGCAGTCCAATACTTAACCCATAGATTTACCAGGATTTCTTCAGAGTAGTTTTTTGAAATCCCCTCATATATATTTCTTTTGAGGTGACAATGGGGCAATCAACTAAGAGTATGTAGAAAATAGATGGAAATCAGAGACTGGCTCTCCAGAGTGCTAACGGTCCAAAAATTACCTTAGTATCCTCTGCACAGATTCTATTCCTAGCTACCTAAAACCTAAATTTCCCCCTCTTCTTTATAAACTTCATTCCCTCCTCACTTTTAATCCTTCTGTTTAACTCCTCTTTCCAGATTTAGATATCAAACCCAATGTATCATCACTGACTAGGATACAATGGTCTGTATGTGAGTACATGTCTCCAAATGTCACACGTTCTGCTCTATGCTCACTTGGTGTCAATAGTTTAGCAGTTTCCTTGAGTTCTGTAAGTACATATTGTGGTTTCTGGTTTTCACATTCAGCAAAGTATTATTTAATAACTTAATAATTTTAAGCCCGGAAATGTTATCCCAGTGAAGTTATTACTTAGACAGAAAGCTCAAATTGTCTACAAGGGACAAAAGACCAGCTAAGGGTTCATTCGATAACGTTGGATAAGAAACATCATAAAAGATAAGAGTCTTATTTTCTTCTTGAAACAATGCAGTCTTTGTGTTAGCTTATCCAATCCTACTTTTTCAAATGAGGTCAGGGAACGTGTTCTGTGACCAAGATAAAAGCAGGAACACCAACCCCACCGGGGTTGGTGGGAGCCTAGGATCAATTTTGCTTCATTTCATCCAGGGCCTCTACAATTGTGCAGCTGGCACAGAACTGGGCAGTGTTCCATTCTGCTGTCCTTAGCTCCTATGAGTCAGAACCACCTGGACAGCACCTCACAACAAAAACAATTGCTCACCTCGGAGGCTCGGGGTCATCATCCATTTAACAAAGCTTCTTAAACTGGAAGTTGTGCTCCTACATGAGGTCATTGTAACTGAATGTGGAGCTCATGAGAAATCTGACAAACAGTCACAGGTTTCTGAACACATGACCAAAAAATTAATTCAAAATCAAATGAGCAATGAATCAGAGGCATATCTAGCACTGTTTGCCCATGTTTCATATTTCTTGGGCAAAATGGGGTCACCAGTAGAAAAAGCTTAAGAAGCCCTAAATTGCCTCCAAGAATATCTCTACTTCAAGAATTCTGTAAAATCCAGAGTTAGGTGAACTCAATATCACATGAGATAAAGCTCACTTCATCATGGGCAATCCATTACTGTTGGCAGAAATTTTATTTCCTTCATGATGAAGTGAAGCCTAAAGTGCTTCACTTCTCCCACTGCGAAGGGGACACAGCTAATATTAAGGGCGCTTTAGAGTGGATAGGCCAAGCCAGGTATTTATTTAACTTTCATTCTCGTCTCTCTTTTTTTGTGTCCCCTGCTTAGGACCTTTTGTTGGGGGTGGGAGGGTGTTTCATTAAGGATGTACAACAAATGTATGTTTTCACACATAAAAGTTGTCCTATACAGGAAAACTTTTTCTAATTATAAGATGAATAATATTTGTTAACTACTAAATTTCAAACAATTTAAAAATAGAAAATAGAAATAACTCATTTAATTTCTGCCTGTCCCAAAGATAATCACTTACTTTTAAGAGTTTAATATATATCATTCAATTATTTTCTTATGTGTATGCAAACCACATTTTCATATAAAATAATAGTGTAAACTGTTCACCTTGTTGTTTCAATTTATTCTATGTTCTATGACAGCTTTCATTTCAACTTGCATTGACTTACTTCATTCTATTTAAAGGCTACACAGTAGTCCATTGTATAGTGTAACAAAATTTACTCAGTCCTCACGTTAAGCTTGATCCTCTCCTCTTTAAAGTCAGTTTGAAGAGGGTAAAATGAGGTCATCAGGACTCATGCAAGGAAAGGTTAACTAAACGTGAAGAAAGCTAAAGGATCATCATTTTGTGGGCCCAAAAGTTGGTGATCAGCAAGATTTCATTTTTTAAATAACTACATGAACTAGATTTTTCTTGTCTATAGTCTCACAATTCCACAGAACCATGGAATTTAAAAAATATATTACACAAGGGTTTTCTATTTGACTGTTCCATTTTAGGCTCTAACTTTTACTTAGCACTGAGCCTAAAACGTAACTGAAGTATGACCAGTGGAATTCATGGAGAGAATGTGAGATGCTCCTTTATCACTCAATCAACATGTGTGGGTAAAACTGTCCAATTTAAAATACAGTTTGCCAGATAAGAACATAAAACATTATAAGGTTTAAATTAGATAATTAGTTAATGGAATCATAGTTCCAAACATTCAAGCCACTCACTCTCCATATAACATCTTTTAAATTGTACTGGCATGTAATAATGCTCATAAAACAGAAAGTGAAATAGAAACGTTTGCAGGTTGACATTAATAGCCCTTTCTAAAAATCAAGGACCTCTAATTTTGTAATGAAGTCAAAATACCTTACCCAAGCAGCTTATACCTTATACAACGGACGACGTACATCAATGGGGCAATTCTGTATTACTTCATCAACCACATCCGAAATAGATTCCATAAAATCTGGGTTGGCAAACTGAATTTTATATAAACATAAGAGAAACATTATGTATTTCTCTCAAATAGCACAAAATCATTTTTAAGTAACTTTAACAAACACAAAATTTACTTTAACTTTTAAAATATACACATAAACTTCAACTTCGTATCAGAATGGAATGAAGCCCATCTGACTATACTTAGAGTAATGGTGACATGGCCCCTCAAGACATAAAATGCATGGGTTTAATCAAGGAAGAATATCTAATAGCAACAAAGACAAGCCATCCCTGCAATTTGAATACAGGATGAATCATTCCATTAGGAGCTTATAAAAAACATACATATGAAGGATGTGAGATGTAATGAGAGAAACACAAGTACTACTAATGAAGTATTAACATTATGGGGGAAAATAGCAAGAATAAATCTTAAAACTTGTTCAAGAGAAGGTGAATGTAAATGTTGGGCAGAAAGAGAGAAGGAGGAGTGTTTTGTCTGATGATGGCTTTAAAAATGGAATGATCGCCATGGTAACAATCGTGTCACCGAGTCAAAAGCTGAAGATTCAATTGTGTAAGTTAAACAAGCTGAAATATAAATAACTCAATTATATAACATTTGAAATATGTTTTTAAAGGCAAGGGAAGTTTTCATTTGTTAACAGTCTGGAGGAAAAAAATAATTTAACATCCAATATTCATCAACTGTTCATTGGATATTTACTGTTTTATGGTGACTTTAAAAATCAATAGTAATAAGTCCATGAGCAAACAAAGGAACAAACTATTACTAGATTACCAGTAAGGCATATAATGAGAAATTTTTCTGTGCAAAATAATCATACATGTGACTAAACATAAACAGCAGTTTGTAACCTATTTCCAAAAACAAGTTAACAAGATTAGCGGGAAAATCTCCCCAAAAATGTATAAAAAATGTATTTAATTTGAATTTAAAATGTCTTAGTGACTGCTTTCTGCTAACATAATAATTCTCTGTGACTACTAGTTAAAATCATAAAGTATAATTCTTAAGACACTCTAAGTCATGGGATTTGACCTTCAAATCTAAATTTTGCCTAATTTACAGCAAGAAGCACAAGCAGTACAACTGTCTGGCTCAAAATGCGGGATTAGAAAGGCCAATCACAAAAGATGGAAAGGTTAAAAGCTATCCCACTTTGATGGGGATGTAACATTCTTCTCATGGTTCTTGAGATGAGTGAGATTAAGCTCAATTCCGTTAACTTCCACTGCTCTTAAAACTTCTTCCTAACCACCCCAGGCATACTCAATATAATGAATCCATGCAAACAGTCAAGTCTCTGGGGAGAGGACCCACACATGGGAGTAAGGGAAATGGGAAGAAGGTGAGTCTGGAAAAATTTACAGAGATTTAAATGTGCAAACAAGTAGCTTTACTGAAAAGATGAGAGACAACATTCTGATTTTACCTTTACAAAAAAACTGTTCTTTATTCACACTAGGTGGCAGTATTGCTCCATAGACACCCTATTTCACACACACACAGAGAGAGAGAGAGAGAGAGAGAGAGAGAGAGAGAGGCTTACCTCAGGATGAAAGAAAATTTCAGGTCCAAGGAACCTTTCATACCCAACATCTATAATGAACTTCTTTTGGTTGATTGCGTTGATACCTGTGTATTGTTTGATCCATTTCCGGGGATCCACATCGTATTTGGCAAATTCCTTCACTATATCAGGGCAAATGTAACAGTATTTCTCCTGCATATACACACACAAAAGTCATCACCAGGCATTAGCGACTATCCAGTTTCCAACCTCTGATAAGTACACAGTACTCACAAGCATTCGGTACACTTCTGAAGTCACGCCCTGCATCCATCGAAAGCATAACACCAGTGTGAAGGTGAGCATCAAGCCTCCCCTTTTACCAACCTTTCCTATTAAACATGACTATGCTTTGATTTTGGACAAGTCCGTCTATCTTCGCAAAACTCATTCAATCAATAAGTGCTTCCTGAGTCCTTCAGCACTCGGAAGACACAGTGAACCAAGCAGATCCCGGGGCTGCCCTACAAAGCTCACCCTCTGTATTATAGGGTGATCCGTCCCAAGGGAAAAAGGAGAAGGGAAGTGAGCTGGGAGGACTGGCGACTGCTTACACCAATGAGCTGCTGCTACTAGGAACCCTACGCATGTTTCCATCACCAACAGTGATCCCTGAGTACATGAGGGTACTTGAAATCCTTGGTAATCTGGGTGTTTTATCTGTCTTGAGAGCTAACTTCAGCAACGCTGCCTGTGTCTACTAGTTCACCAGCTTCTAAAAGCAAGTTTCCTACAAGCAGGAGCCACGTGCCCAGCCTAGCACCTGGTACACACGTGGTGCTCAATAAACAACTGGAATGAATGACTCCCTCAAATAATATCGGAGGTGTTTTTGTATTTCCTTTAAAGTTTCTTATAACCTTGAAGCATAGTTTGATACCTTCTGGATATTTCTGCCACACACTTTAGCAGAAGTATATAACTGGTGAACTAGAATAGCTACACGATTCTGTGTTCCCCAATAATAGAGAGAATGGGTCAGTCAATATAATTTTAAATCCACCTGAACTGGAGATTAAAATCAGAAAATTGTCCTTAGAGTCCTGGTCATGTAGTGTAGCAATGTTAACCTTAAAATTCTGAACTTACACTGCTGTATAAGATAAATGCAATTGAGTGCCTCTCATGTCCACAGGAGACAATCCTGTTAGTAATATTATACAGTAGTAACTCTAAACCATTCTGTCCAGGACCACCCCCTTTACAGACAGAAGAAAGTAAGAAATAAATACCAGGGCTAACCTATGCAATAGGCTCAGTGTCCCTGGTTTGGAGAACACCCAGGGAGCTCATTTGATTCCCAGTCTTTACAGCTGGAGAGAAATGATGTCCAAATCTGAGCATCCCAGCTAATGGGTCAAGGACAAGACTAGAACTCAATTTGAGGATCAGGAAATTAACCTTACTTAATCAATAATGGTATTCAGAGATTTTTACTGGAAAAGGGAGATTCGCCAGATTTGCCCCTTAAGAAAAGATTTAATTCTGATTTATATTTGTAATAGAGTTGGGGTGAGAAAGCAACTTTGGTCAAATATCAAAATTTTTCTTATTGAAAGATGGCAAGGAAAGGAAGAGAGAAAGACTTTAATAATAATAGGTCCGTCGACAAAGAAACTCTTTAAAGTGAAGAGATTGGCCACCCTACCTACATGTACCAAAGTACCCTATCCTAAAAAACGTCTCTCCTTCCACCAAAAGCATCATATAAACCTTTAAAATAATCTTTGGTGATTTATTTTCTTTAACTGTAACTCCAACCCATCGGTAAGTTCTGTCCATGACTTATTCCTGCAAAATATTTCTTAAATAATAAATCCTACTTGCTACCATTAACCCTAGTCCAAATCACCATGGCTTTCTGTGGCTTGCCACTTCCATGCCTACTTCCTCCCTTCTCCCTCCATCATTTTCTACTACACATTGAGGGGGATATTTTAGAACCTTACTGGAGGGTGTCACTTCTCTGCTTCAAAGTCTCCCACAGCATCCAGTGCACTTAGAAAGAAATCCAAACTTATCACCGTGGTCCACGTATGTCCACTGACTCCTCTCTATAATCTCATCAATCCCTTCCTCCTCTTAGCATGGACTTCAACCCACTGGTTGAGTACCACTCCTTGAACATACAAGCTTTATTTCTGGCTCCCTCCTGGTCCCTTGAACTGGCTGCTCCCTCTGCCTAGAACACTCTTGGCTGGATCCTTCTCATCATCCTTCAGGTCTAAGAAGCTTCCCTTCAACATCACCCTCTCTACCCCCTTCTGTTTTATCACCCAATTAACTTTGATTTTTCATCATCTCTCTCTGTCTCCCCTAACTAGCATATAAGATCCTCAGTGGGGTAAGCTATCTTTCTTGGAATCCAGCAGAGTAGGCACTTAGTAGTCACTGAATAAAATTAATGAGTACAGATTCCATACTGTTTATTCACTGTCTACCATGTTATAATGGAGCAAGGCCGCTACACAGAAAATGTAAGAAGTAATATCTACCTCCCATGCACAGACTTTCAGAAATTCCTTTGGATTAATAAATTCTAATTTGTCTATCGAAATACTCAAGATAGGACAGTATTAAATCACTGGCTATATACATCTCAGGGTTAACCACCTTCATCAAGTCACCAAATGGCTAAGACCAGCCTCAGTTGTGAGATGTTTAGATAGGAGGAAAGCAGAGAGTAAAAGAGGGCACAAGGACAAGTTGAAAGCAGGCCAAGTAACCTGTACACTCTTGCCCAGCTCAGTAACAATGTGTTCTATGTAAAGGAGAAGCCCAATATGATAGGTCATACTCCTACACTTAAATTCTTCTCCAAAACCCAAATTCCTCCCTGTTCAACTATAGAAGGTGCCCTGGTAGCATAGTGGGCTATGGATTCAGCTGTTCACCATAAGGTCAGTGATTCAAATCTACCAGTCACCCCATGGGAGAAAGATGAGGCTGTGGGCTGCTGTAAACATTTAGTCTCAGAAACTCAAAAGGGTAGCTTACTGTGTTCTATAATGTCACTATGGGTCATAACTGAGTTGAGAGTAGTGAGTTTTTTGAGTTACATCTATATAATTATCACCCTGATTACGAAGGATGTTGTGTATTTTAATTTAAAAATAATTTGTCCTGATTTTACAACATAAAAGGAAAAATACCTTTTAAAGAGTCTGTGAACTGCCACATACAGTGTAATACAAAAACCAAACTGTTGAATCAGGTTGAGTAGTTTATTTTAAATAAGAACTAATCAGCCATTTTACTTCTAATCATTGATTAAATAACTGAAAGTTCCCAGCTTAATAACCAAAGTCTAGAAAATACAGGTGAATTTTGTCTAATAATTCTGGATCTGCAATGTCATTATTTGGAACTATAATTCTCAGGGCCTGGAACCAAGAACACTCTAGGGCCCTAATCTGAACACTGGCTGATTTCAAGAGTTTTCTGACGGTCAGTGCTGCTACTGCTTACCTCCTTATTCTAAGCACAGAGGAAGATATGGGAAAGAATGCAGTTAATTGAAGGTTCTATCTAATTAGGCTCCAATTAAATGATGCTGTACTGTCTTCATTTGTACTCAGTACTGTGATCAAGTTGTTCTCGTGTACAGTTAAATACTAGCTATGGACCCGCAACAGGGCGGTTGTGTTGAGAAGAGGTGAAACTTGAAGTCTCTCAGTCTACTTAACTCAAGAGTAAATCACGATACACAGTCACAGGAAGGAAGGTGGGAACAGAGATAATGGCATACAGGGAAAATGTCCAAAATACCACTTATACCTCACCCCCAAAACAACCAATTTTATGTCTGTTTTTACCTTAATGGCTTTTGCAGTCTCCAGTGATTGCTCAGGAGGGATTCCCACCTCCCTCTCCCTTAGCAGCTGTTGAATGAAATATGTAATATCTCTACCTGCAATTGGGATGTGTTTGATGCAGCTTCCAATTACATAACCTTCTGCCTAAGGGAGAAGAGGAGTCAGAAGAACCCATATGAGTGATGCCAGCAGTTCAGAGCAGCATTAACTCACCAAGTTTCCTACCCTACTTACCCACCCTGTCCCACTCAGTTCATTAACAAGCATGCAGTGTCCCCAGTTCATGCAGATCTTAATGACTGCATAGCAACATCATTCATATTTAAATTCAAAAATCATTCCAGTAACCTGAGACTATATAAATTATCAAAGTGATTTTCTCATTAAGAATAGAAACTAAGGAAGATAGTTCGTATCCAAAAAGTTAAGGTATCTGTTAGAACAGTGAATCCAATAACTCATACACAGACATACACACATACCATGCCCCACCACCTACAAATTTTTAAAAGGGGGGGGGGGGGAATTTCGAAATTGATAAACCAACTACAGATCTATCTATCATTAATTTAAAATCTATCTAGATATTAATTTTAAAATTGTTTAAGCACCCAGGCATTAGATTCAAGAGACCAGGACTGACACCAGATCTCTTGAATCTATATATGTTAGCTGAATGACTACGGACTTGTTTGTTAACATGCATCAGGCTTCAGTACCCTCTCTCAAAATATAGGAATTGACCACACAGATTAAATGAAATATCATTTGTCCAGCATTTAACATAGATTTTTAAAACATATATGAAATACTCAATAGGTGACAATATTGATATAAGATTTCTATTTATAAGGGTTAATTCTTATAACAGCCTAACTATTATGCTATTTGAAAAAGAGCACTGATCAGTATTTAGAAAGCAAATCTCTCAGCCAGCTTACTCAACCTGCTCCCCTGAGCCAGTAGAGACCAGGTTCCTGTGGTAGAAAATGAGATGAGGTAGACACCTTACCCAGCCACCTGTAGCTGACCCCTAGCAAAAGCCAGGGCCAAGTCCTGAATGAATCAAGAGCTCGCATAACTATAGCAATGGTGGGTGAGAAGCTATGGAGTCAGTGCTATGCCTGAGGCTTCCCTATCAGCCTTCACATAGGCAAGAAACACACTGTACCATAGCAACCACTGTCACACAGTTTGTTCTGCTCAAGATCAGAGCCAGAAAACTGCCTACATACCACATCTTCATCAGATCGGAGGAGGTGAAACAAACACCCAGGTTTCATGTTTTGCCACGGGCTTCTGTGGCACCATATCCCAGTGAGGTCGACAAGAATGGGACTGAAATGCGACCTTCAGCTTTACAAATGTACCATTCCTAATAAAGACAAGCTACATGCATAATTACCCATGGAGTTACGAGGACAGGTTAATAAATACCTCTTTCTTTCTAGTGTACCTAATTTCTAGAGGGAAAAGAAGATGTGGCTTTTCTGCAGAGTCCAAGTTCTTTGTAAAATACTTTTAAGATGAAGATAAAAAATATGTATGAAGTAATACAATATTAAGAGTAAACTTAAATCTATAAAAATATATAAATTAGTCACAACTGCTTTAGTCTATACATCACATATGACATTTTCTAAGTTAATTTATTCAGTGTTAAATAAGCATCAGCTTCGTCACAATACTGGAAACATCAAAACAACCTAAATGTTCAACAACAGTAAAATGATTAAGTAAATTGGGGTATACTTATATGACAGGTTATTGTGTAGTTGCTAAATACTTTTTCACAGGATACAGCAAGAAAAAATCAGGGCCAAATTAATGAGCAAAATATAACTTTGAGGCTATAAGATATGAAATAATATAGAAAACCAAATACCGTATATGCCAACTGTGGGGGTTGGGGGTGGACAAGAAAAAGCTTGGATGGTTTTACAACTAAAATTATAATGTGGTTCTCTTGGTGGATGTATGGGTAATCTTATTTTCTGCTTCACTGTTTGACCAAAATTTTCTTATAACAAATATCATTTATAAAATCAGGGGTACAGGAGATGAATTAACATAGAGTTAAAAACAAATTTTCTCATTGAGCCTACTCCTCTTCTCCTAAACCAGACACAAAGGACAGGCAAAGAAACAAAAGTGAAACAGCACAGGTGCCCAAGTCACATCTGCAGCCTCACTAAGTTTTATTGTACTTGGAAGATACCCCAGAAAGAAAGTCAGAGTCTGAAATTCTCAGTTAGGAGTAAATATCAACCTCTCAATGAACCTAAAAGGAATGCACAGAAAACACCTTTCTGAAAGGTCAGTCACTGCTGCCATCTCAGCTCATCCCCAGGGCATGACAGGGAAAGGGTGGACTCAGGTAAGTAGGATTTTGCTATTTTCAGTCCTGATTATAGTAATAATTTCCACTGCAACAGTTTCTGGCCTTTAAGGAATTAAAACAATATTTTAGACATACTTCAACTTCTTAAAATATAATAATAAGTCTTTTTCCAATAGAAGTGAACAACTTTTACAGCTATTTTTAAAATGAGGTACAGATACATAGACCTGTCTATTCAGAAAACATTTGTAATACAAATAACTAGTAGTGGCAGCTGTCCTTAAGAACAGGATCAGGAATGACAAGTCTGAATTTCTACTGTATGTGCCGTACTACCATTCCAATTAAATTTTTAAAATTCAATTCTAAATAATTCATTTGACAAAAAAAGAAAACTGTGGAAGGTTCTGTACACATATATTTGAAATTAATTCTCTAATCGTTTCTAATTTAAAGCTAAAAGCTGGCATTCCAGAGCCTTCCAGAAGTCAAAATATACACTCTTCTTCCTAGTTCTCAAACTAAAACGTAACAAGCAATTTTCTATATAAAATTACAGATTAAAGCCATTCACATCTTTCCAAAGAACAGAGAAATAATCCCACAAGTGTTCATACCCTATACTAACAAATCTGATATTCAAAATGTTTATTTCTCAATACTCAGAATTTGGGCCAAAAAAATGCTCTTGCTGGTATCATTCCCAGGAAGATCAATCAGGGTCTCAGAGATTCCAAACTATTGCCAATATTCTGGCTGAGGAAATTGACACCATGAAACTAAAATCGTCAAAGTCCTGGATCCTGATTATTTCTTCTTTTCTCCATCACATACCTTCAAAATCAAACTAAACTCACTGCCATTGAGTTGATGCCAACTCACAGCGACCCTATAAGACGGGGTGAACTGCCCCTGAGTGTTTCCTAAACTATAACTCTTTAAGGGGGTAGAAAGCTCCATCACATACTGAAGCTTCAAAAAAATCTTGCTAAGCTACACTGAAAGCACTGACAAAAAACAGGCTCCTGGAAATGATAGCTACCAACTGAGCTGTTTTAACAAATGGTGTAATGATGGAAATGCTCATTTGTCTATATCAAGAAATTTGGAAGACAGTTACATGCATCAAAGAACTGGAAAAGATTCTTATTTGTGCCCACTGCAAAGGAAAGTGATCTAACAGAATGCAGAAATAATCAAGCAATGCATATCACAGACAAGTAAAATTTTCCTGAAGAGATTTTTAAATGGCTGCAGCATACATTGATATAAAGTCAGAAGACATGGAATGAGGAATATCATAGGTGATATCAGACGTATCTTGACTGAAAACAGAGACTAAGAGACAGAAATTTACTTTGTTTCACTGACCATACAAAGGCATTCAATGGTATGGACCATAACAAATTAAAGAAAACACTTACAAAAAATGGGAATTCCAGAGCACCTAATTGTGGTCATGCAGAACAGGTACACAGACCAAGAGGCTGTATACAGAACACATAAACTAAATGGTTTAAAGTCAAGAAAGGTTGGAATCAGAATTGTTAGTAAGCTCACCATACTTAGTCAAACTGTATGTTCAGCAAAGACTGTGTCTGACTCAAGGGTTTCCTGGTCTTCTCAATCGCCTCATATGCATGGATAAGAAAGAAGAACTGATGCCTTTGAAGTATGAAGCTGGTAAAGAATACGGAATATACCATGGACTGGTGGAAGAATGAATAATCTGTCTTGAAAAAGTATAGCCAAATGCTCCATAGAAGCAAGGATGGGAAAAACTTCATCTCATGTGCTTTGGACATGTTATCAGGAAAGGCCAGTCCATGGAGAAGGGCAGCAGGTTTGGTAAAAAACAGTGAAATAGAGGAAACCCCTCAATGAGATGGACTGGCGCAATGGCGCTGCAACAATGGGCTCAAATATAACAACAATTATATGGATGATAAAGGACCAGCCAATGTTTTGTTCTGTTGTACACAGGGCTGGAGACAACTCAAAGGTATCTAAAAATGACACCCTTTTTAAGTACGACTATTATTTCAACAGCCCTGGTAGTACACTGTTTATAGCACTTGGCTGCTAACCCAAAGGTGGGCAGTTCAAACCCACTAGCTGCATTATGGGAGAATGATGTGGCAGTCTGCTTAGAGAAAGATTACAGCCGTGGAAACCCTACAGGAGAGTTCTACTTTAACCTGCAGGGTCATTCTAGGTCAAAATGTAAGGGATGGTAGTGGGTTTGGTTTGGTTTGGGGTTTATAACTTTAAAAGTAGTAATTTAATTACAGAAAGGTGTTTTTCAAAAATCTCTCCTTCCCTCCAACGAGGTATGAAGTTCTGAGTATTGTACTTACCACGGGGATGACATGGGTAACCCCATCACCGCTGTCAATGACTGTCCCTGTTAATGTGCGCTCTCCAACCTGTCGGGAGGTCCACGATGCCGCCAAAGCCAGCACGGCCTGCAATGCAAAATGGACACTAGCATACAAGGACATGTTTAAAAAGGAGTTTACCCACCTGTTCACAGGTTCAGCCACAAACTCTTTTCTTGTTTAATAACAAGTCTTTGAGTAGAATCAGAAGATTTTAGTAATAACTGACTGATTCCCAATAAAGATCCATAGAATGGACACAAAGAAATAAACCATTTGTGAAATCCCTAAACATACAAATTACCAGGTCTCACTCCATAAATTCTAGTGGGGTAGCTCTAGCCCAGAAGCCTTCAATTATGCCCAGTGGTGTCCTCAGGGAACATTTGGGATCATCTTCAGAAATGTTTTACCATCACCCTTGGAGGAAGTGCTGAGCATCCAACTATGCACAGATAGCCCTGCAACAAAACATTATTGAGCTCAAGGCAGTAGGGTTGAAACCTTAATCTAGGATTAAGTCCAGTAATTTATGTTTTTTAAAAAGCATTCTCTACTGGCAAATTTGATGCACAGACCATTTTGAGGACAGGTTCAGTCTTCTAAAGTATCTCCCAAATTCATGGAATTTGGGAACGGGACAAGATTTATGTTTAAATAAATTTAAAAATACTAAAATAAACAAATTTCTTCAAGTCAGGAATTCTCAGAGCTTTCACCATGCTAATAAGTAGCAAAAGGAGGATATCTTGTGTAATATCTCCACAACTGATTTTTCTCTGAGACTCTTCCACCTTTGTCTCACAAGGAACTAGCATTATGCAATATATATATATTGTGGTAAGCACCCATCTCATTTATAACGAGAAATTTCAAAAATGGTATGAATTTGGGGATGTATTTAGGGAGTATGTATTTACAGAATGTGTGTGTGTGTGTGTGTGTGTGTGTGTGTGTGTGTGTGTGGTGTGTTAATTCAGTGTGTGTGATTTGGAATTATCATAGTTTCCACTACTAGAGAGCTAAAAGTGCACTTGAGACAGAGTGGCGTATAGAGGTAGGAGGCTATGTTGAGGGTGTGATGTGGGGGTGTGTATGTGGTACACAGGCAGGAGTTGGGTATGTGGGTGGCATAGAGGGTATATGTAGGAGCACGGTGCACTATACAGTATGTGTGTATGTGTGGTGCAATGCATGTGTACATGGGGTCTGATGTGAGGGATGTGTCTGTGAAGTTCGTGTACATTGTGTAATGTGGTGGGGAGTCATACAGGGTGAGGCGGAGTGATATGCGGTATAAGGGTCCATATGTAGGTATACACACATATATTTATATGTGTTGAGGACTGGAAAAGGAATTTTGAAGAACAACATACATAAGCTTAAAACAGAGAAACTTTGGAATTAGCATAGCTTCCAGTACGTAGCTTCTAGATAGCTACGATTCCTTGGGAATCATAAAAATAACCTTGTTTTTACCTGAACTGCAATGTAGAGTCCTGGTACATTAAATGATTCAAACATGATTTCTGCAAGATATTCTCTATTTTCGGGTGTATTCAGTGGCGGTTCTGTCTGTAAGAGAACATTCACTATATTCCATGTAATTAAATCAGAACCATGAATAATTTAATCTAAAAGCATGTTAGCTAGCGTGTTATACAATTCTCTCATTTTACAGATAAAGTATGCCCAGAATGATTTAAAGAAACCTGGCTCTGGATCTTCAAGTTTTCAGATGGCTAAGTAAAGAAGTACCTGAATCCTTCCATTTTCACTGACCACCCCAAAACAAGAAAGAGCACAAACTGATGAAGAGGAAAATCTATCTTCAATAACATAATAAAACATATATACACCCTGAAACTCAACATACCTGAATACAAGTTGTCAAAGGCAATGAAAACTCAACCACTGTTGATGGAGGGACCAAGAGAGAATACCAATACATTAGAGCTCAGAAAGATGATGGCTTTCTCAAAGAACAGGAAAGCAAAGAAACCATAGTCAAACGGCTGCAGAGGCTTCCCTGACCCATCTGACACTGAGGAGCAACAGCGAGGCCAGTCAGACACAGCATCTCAGAAGCTGAGGCACAAGGCAGAAGACTCCACAGGAGAAGTAGAGTTCCAGCAAAACTTTGTCAGAATCAGATTCTTCTATGATTTCCTTTTCTCAACAAGGTTTTAAATTCTATACCATTAACGAAATTAATGACACTATCAATATAATAACCTATACTGTTCTCTATAATAGTGATGCCTCTTAAGTTGAACCAGAGATATATATAAACCATAGATATATGGTTGCATTGGGGGCTCCCACTTCATTACAGCCCCAGTGTAAGAACAATCAGTTTTGATGACATGGCCCTACTTAATTCTCACTGTTACTGAGATCACTTAAGGTAAGTGTGTTATAGCCTCTGAGGTCTTAATGGCTTGTCTAAGTTAGTCGTCAACTATGACCACATGGAAGACGCACACCAACTTGTGTGATCCCAACAATCATAAATAATAAAATCCTAGACCAGAAGAGGGAATGGTATCAGAGCTTAAATTATGAGCACTCCATTTGCAAGAGACCATGGATGATAGTGGAAGCCCGAAATCCATTTGCAGGGTCCTTATGTGGCCTGAACCTCTGGTGAGTCCCCTCTGACCATAGTCCAGGGATGTGAATAGCCTTGCTACCACACAGAGCATTATAACATTGATTATGGCAGATGTGTTAGATTAAAATGCAATACCTTATCATTCGACCTCCCCTTTGGCCCATTTTAAAGTTGTTCCAGTTTTTAATATTTTCAACTTTTCTTTTTCGATAAGAGAGAATTTTTCTGTTTTGTGTAATCATTGTTGTTGGATTTGTTGTTATTGTCCACTTCCTGTTTGTGCTTTACATGAATTTTTGTATATTAAATCAGGGTAGGTAAATCTGTGGAGACTGTAACTAGATTAATAATGATGTAGGGCAATAACAAGGGAAAACAGGGTGCTAACAACAAGGAAGACAAGAAGAAAATGTTCTGAAATTGGTTGTGGTGATGACTGCACAATTCTTAATATGATAGAATGATTAAAATGTGTAATATGTAAAAAATGTATAATATGTTAAGTATATGACAATAAAACAAAAAAGTACCTATACAAATTCATAGATTTCATAAGTGAACACTAAAACCAAAGACTACATGACTCGTGGGATGACATCAAGAATACCATACATGAAGAAAATAAGGTTACTAAGAAGGTAGGGAAAGGGAAGTAATAAGCTAGAGGTGTAGAGTTAACTTGGGTGGAGAGAGAATATCCTTCAAGAGGGAGATGGGAAGAAGCAGTCTCTCCTGATAACATGTCCAAAGGATAGGAGACTAAGTTGTTATCCTTTCTTCCAAAGAGTATTCTGCCTGTGCTTCTTCCAAGGCAGATTTGTTTGTTATTTTGGAAGTTCATGGTACTTCCAATATTTTTCACCAACACCAAAACTGCATTGATACTTCTTCAGTCTTCTTATTCAATGTCTAACTTTCACATGCCTATGAGGCAACTGAAAATACCACGGCTTGGGTGAGGTGCACCTTAGTCCTCAAAAGAACATCCTTGTTTTTCAACACTTTAAAGAGGTTTTGTGCAACACAGATGTATCTAATGCAATTCGTCTTTTGATCTCGACTGCTGCTTCCATGAGCATTGACTGTGGATCCAAGCAAGACAAAATCCTTCAAACTCAGTATTTTCTGTCTTTATCATATTACCTATTGATCTAGTTGTGAGGATTTCTGTTTTCTTTGCACTGAGTTGTAATCCACACTGAAGGCTAAAATACTTAATCATCACCAACAAATGCTTCGTTATCACTTTCAGCACGGTGGTGCTATCTCACAGGTTGTTCAGAAACATTCCTCCAATCCTGCTACCGCATATAAGTTAATATTCTCTGATTATTCGTTCAGTATACAGACAGAACAAGTATGGTGAGGAATGTAGCCCAGACATACACCTTTCCTGATTTTAAACCATGCAGTATTTCCTTGCTCCATTCCCACAGCAGCCTCTTGATCCATGTAAAGGTTCAGCATGAACATGATGAAGTGTCCCAGAATTCCCATTCTTCTCAAGGCTACCCATAGCTTGTTATGATCCACACAGACGAATGCCTTCACATTGTCAATGAAACACAAATAAACATCTTTCTAGTATTCTCAGCTCTCAGGCACAATTCATCTCAGAACAGCAATATCCCTTGTTCCATGTCTTCTTCTGAATCTACTGCTGCAACCATTGTTAGATGATCTTCAACAAAATTTTACTTGCATGTTATATCACTATTGTTCTATAATTTTTGCATTCTGTTGAGTCACCTTTCTTGGGATTGGCTACAAATATGGATCTCTACCAGTCAGTTGGCCAAGTAGTTGTCTTCTAAATTTCCTGATATAAATGTGTGAATGCTTCATCAGCTCGTTGAAACATTTCAATTGGCATTCCATCAATTCCTGGAGCTTTTTGTTTTTGTTAATGTCTTCAGTGCAGCTTGGACTTCTTCCTTCAGTACTATTGGTTCTTGCTCATACACGACTTCTTGAAAGGTTGAATGTTGACTAGTTCTTCTTGCCACAGTGACTTTGTATTCTTTCCTTCTTCTTTTAATTCTTTCTGTACCATTCAATATTTTGCCTATGGAATCTTTCAATATTACAACTCAAGGCTTTAATTTTTTCTTGAGTTCTTTCAGATTAAGATACGTTGAGCATATTCTTACTTTTGGCTTTCTAACTCTTGGTATATATAGTTTACTATAATATTTCACTCTTCTCCTGCTGCCCTTTGACATTTTGTTTCTTTCTTTCTTTTTTTTAATAAATACAGATGATCACATTTAACTGGAAAGGCTTCCTGGAGCTGAACGTTTATATCAGGCATGTTAAGAAGGTAACAAGAATGGTACAGAGTAGGAATGATCCCTTACAGAAGAGAAGACTGCAGACTCCGACTGAGACTGATTAGCATGAGTTTTACTATGAAAACATGTGCTCCTTATATTACCAGCACTGCTTTGGTAATTCCCTTTGAAATTTTCTATTCAAGCTGATTTACTTCATCATTTCTTCTATTTGCATTAGCTACCCTACAATGAAGAATAGGCTTCAATTTCTTCTGGTATCCACTGAATCTTTTCTTTTATTCCTATCTTTTGAATGATTTTTTTGCTTTCTTCATGTATAATATTCTTGATGTCATCCCACAGTTTTTCATATATTCTGTCAATGGTTAATGCATTAAATCTGTTCTTGATATGTTTTCGAAATTCAAGAGAGATATACTCAAAGTCATATATTCTCGCTCATGAATTTATTTTCATTTTCAATTTCAACCTGAACTTACAGATGACTCATTGATAGTCTGTCACAGTCGGGCCCTGGCCTGGTTTTAGCTGCTCATATTGAGCGTCTCCATGATGTCTTCCCACAAATGTAGTCAGTCTGATGTCTGTGTATTCTATCTGGAGAAGTCCACACGTACAGTCACCGTTTGTGTTGTTGAAAAGGGGTACTTGCAATGAAGAAGTCGCTGTCCTTGCACAATTCTATCATGCGATCTCCAGCTTCATTTCTATAACCAAGACCATATTTTCCAACTACTTTTTCCTCTTTATTTCCAATTTTTGCATTCCAGTAGCCAAAAATTATCAATCAATCTCGAATGAATCTTTGATCAAATTCAAACTAAAAACATTGGTAAAATTCTTCAATTTCTGTATCACTAGCTTTAGTGGTTGGTGCATAAATTTGAGTAATAGTTGTTCTGATTGAATTTCCCGTATATGATAGACATTATCCTATCAGAGACAGTATTTTACTTCAAAATAGATCCTTAAGTGTCCTTTTTGACAATGAAATGCTATTCCTCTTGATTGTATCACTACCAGGATAGTAACCATATGATTTTCTGACTCAAAATGGCCAATACCAAGCCCTTTCAGCTCACTAACACCTAGAATATCCATCTTTATATATTCTAGCCAATTTTTAAGGCCTTCAAATTTTCCTAGATTCATACTGAAACATTCCAAGTTCCAATTATTAATTGTTTTTTGCAGCTGTTTCTTCTCATTTTGAGTCAGGCCCCATCAGCCAAGGAAGGCCCCAAAAGCTGTACTCCCATAAGCTTTACTCCATTTGTGTCATCACAGTTGACTACTTTGAGAAAGCAGCTCTTCCTCGGTCAAATTTTGTGTGCCTTCCAACGTGAGGGGCTCATCTTCTGGCACCATCGCTGACAATGTTCTGCTTCGGCTCATTAGGTTTTCAGTAACTAGTAATGTTTCCAGGCTATCAGTAGGGTTTTCAGTAGCTAACTCCTCTGAAGCACTCTTCCTTCTTTTCTTAGTCTAGAACCTCTGCTGAAGCCTGTTCGATTTGGGTGATCTGATGGTATGTGAAGCAGCAGGGATACAGCTTTCAGCATTATGGCAACACACAAGCCACCACAGTAAAACAAACTAACAGACAAGTGATGGAGAAACAAAATTACTTTATGTGCAACAGTGGTTCTTGAATGTCTGAAAATAGTGGAACCATTGAAAAGATATAAATTGAGAGTTATCAAATCTGGGAAAGAAAATGCGGAAGATGCAATATTTAGTATACAATTATATGAAAAGATTAAATTATACTAATTGTTAATACGATAGTACTACTATAAGGGGGAAATTTTCACTGTTATAAGCCTTTGAAGAAAGCCCACATAAACTCCTAATACAATGTTCTAATTTATTTATTCACAGGAAAAGAAACTTAGGAAAAGAAAGATGGCAACACAGAGCAGAAGAAGATACAGGTCATCTTAACATAACTTTTCCCTGGCACTCTGGGTCACTAATGTGGATGGCACATTCCAAGTCAGTAGAATCCAGCAGGCTTGTGAACACAGCCAAATTCTTGTTTTGCCATTGTCTTCATACCTGTGAGTTACAACAATATGGCAAGTGCTGAGAAATACCTATCTAATATCCAATTTCTCCATCTTCTTAGTGATAGACCTCTGACCGAGCAGGCCAGACTAAAAGAATTTCCCAGATTTCCTTGTGGATAAGGGTGGCTCTGAGTAATTTCTGGTGAATAGATATACCAAAAGCTCATGGGTCTGTCTATAAGGAGAACTTCTCACAAAGTTGAGGGTAGACTCAAGTAACAGACTTCTTTCTGCTGTTACCACTTTCTTCCTGGAAGGTAGAAATAATGACTGGAACTACAGTAGCCAACTTGGAAGCATGAGTCATCCTTAGGATAGAAACCATACACAAAGGTGGAGTGGAAAGATTCCTAATGACACCAAGAAGCTGCTAACACACTAAAACCAGATTCATGCTACAATTTTTTTTTTTAAGAAAAGTAGACCCTTTAATTTGTTTAAATTATTGATCTCCAGATATCCATTACTTGTTGCTGTTCATAAGATTTTTAATATTTCAGTTATGATTTTAACTATTCTATCTGCTAAGGATTAACAGTACAAGCATGAAGGAAATTTACCCTTTTTATCACTTTCTTATCACATCATGCCATGAATCTGACGGGCAGAGTTCACATCAAAATGTATATGCAATATTTGCTTCTGTGCTGACCAAATAAAGTAGATTATTTATGAACTTTCATTTTAGGTTCATTGCATTTTTTAGCAAATGAAGTTTGACTTTCCATGTTAAAGACCAACATCTCTAAATGGCTATCTTATATGAGCTCTTATGTGCCAGTTAAATCAAGAAAAAAAATGTTTTTAGTAAAAAGTCCCAGTGGGCTGTGTCTCATTTGGTCCCCAGGCCTAAGATCTGATGGCCTTCTCGTTGGAAAGTGCAGGATAACCCCTGATGAGGCAGAGTGGGGCAGACAGAATGAAGCAGCTGGGAAGCATGATTGATCCTACAACTCTATACAAGGTAGTGAAATATGTCCTAGAAAAGAGCAAATGCC